TACACTCACAAAAAGAACTCATTTTAATAGGGGCGGGGGGGAATCAACACTATTTTAAGAAAACATTTTGCTACGTTATTTCCAGGCAACGTTTTAAGCATCGTAATACTTTTATGGATTAAAAATTGACGAAATGATCACGGAAAAGAAACAAAATTCTTACGCAATTCAATAATATCTTTTCTCCAAATGAGCCATAATGCCCCACCTGAGAAAAATTACAGAAATAAAACACATTCCTTAACAAAATATTATATTCCAGTAAAAGCCACGATCTCTTGTTTACAGAGATAAATCTGTAAACTAATGTTCGAAATGGCTATTTTTATCCCTCCTCTCGAAAACTAGAATCGTGTTATTCTCGGAAGAAAACTTTACAAAATTCATTCGATTTGAAGTTAAAAATAAAAACTCCGGAAGAAATAACAACATAAAGGCTATTTCTTCCGAATCTTCAAATACTGGAATCATTTATTTTTTTATTATTTGGTTAAATGATTAAAAAACTAACTTTCAAATTACGATATTTTAAATATTCTTAGGGGGAGGAGCTTATCTTAAAATTTTCATAAAAAAAGGTAAACAAAAACGGCATTTTTGTAAATATTTGGCAATATTCAAGTGAGAAAACTCGAGAAATATTTGAAAAAAATACAAAAACTACATACGCAGTTTTTTTAAAGTTTTTCATGCAGGGTGTTTCGTAATCGTTGCCTCTTTATATATATATATATANTGCTTCCGGCTTGCGTACGAATTGTGAGCGGATCATTTTCCACGCTTTCGCGTTCGAAAGCTTTTTAAACCATTCAAAAGTTCTTGAGCGATATAATGCTTCCTTGCCGTAAACTTGTTTTAACAATTTGTAGGTTTCTGCAGCTGTCTTGCACAATTTGAAGCAAAATTTAATGTTAATTCTTTGCTCCATTTCACTTCGACAACAGGAATTTAAGAGCTCCGTTTTAATGCGCCTTTCCACGAGAACCACTCACTTCAGAATGGCGCCGATTGCACTGAACATGCGCAACAAAACACTCTTCAATATGCAATCATTAGCGCCATCTTCCGGCTTTTCTTTCTCCTACAGTTACGTCAGTCCTGGAAATTAATAGCCGGACCTTGTATAGATATATATATTCTTGGGGGTTGCAAATCAATATTTAAGCTGAGATGATACGTAAACGCTATTAAAATCTAACAAAGCTATTGAGGAAAGCGGGAGCGAAATGATTAAAACCTGTTTTATTATCTGGGGGAAAACTGAGAGAAGTTTAATCTCAATTTTCATTAAGTAATTAAAAGAATGACCATAAGTTTGAATCTACTATGCCCTGAGAATCTTCCGCCACACGGTTGCTATGGAAACAAGATAAATAGTATTTCAAAGAGTTCAGTTTTTGATATTTCTCTAGCCAACACAAATTCCAATGTTAACCCACACTACAATTCGAAATATTTTAACCTCTTAAGCATAGTCAATCGCAGTGCTCTAGACAGGTGGTTCCCAATTTTTTTCAGTTACGGAACTCTAAGCGATCGAACTTCTTCCGCTGAAACCTTTAATTTTAAAATAAGCTAAAGATATGTGAATGTTCTAACCAGAAAAAAAAACTACAAATCAATTTAGAAACATTTAATGTGAAGAATGGAATTTTTTCATCGTTTCATCAATGGCAGTCTTTTCGTAGCAGAATATCGGCGACATTGTCGCAGAACGTTACAAAGTTGTTGCAGAAAGAAATTGCCTTTAGGAAGTAAAAAATTTTGGTTTCCTTTTCTGCAAAAATTATGAAGAAGAAAAAAAAAAATTTTTTTTCAAAAAATTATATTTAAAAGATGCCTTTTTTGAGTATTGGTGGGGAAAGAAATGTTAGTGATTTTTCTATTCTTATTTGAGAAAAAAGAAAAAATAAAGAATAATGAACTAAAAAAATGTTGGTTTTATTGTCTACCAAGATTTTCAAAAGATTTTTTTTCAACCAGAATTATTGTTATATATTATACATTGTTATATAAAACTTTTACTTCATTTTTCAAAAGATTCCTTACACGCTCATCGGAAGGAAAAGAAATGCTCGTGATTTTTCGTTTCATATTTAAGGGGAAAAAAACTCGTTAATGACTGGTTTCAGCTAGAATTACAATTAGAAAATATAAGGAAAAAAAACCGAAATCGTTAAAGTTGAAACGATAGTTCCGTTCTAGAAATCATGTTCTTAAGCACACCATATTTTACATTTCAATAAAATTTGACTTGTGAGTGGGGATTTTGTTACAAATCCAGATTTGCTGTAAAATATTGCCGTCCTACTTTTTTTTTTAATTAGGATGAAATAAAATCGATCCAGTATTTTTAAAAAAAATGACGCACATGAAAATTTTAAATCACGCATTTGAGTTATCGCTTTTTCGCTCCGAACTCGTGCCGATTCCCCCGTTAAAATCGTAATATGTTTTGATCCATTTCTTTTGTGGCAATTATTGCTACGAATTTTTGATTTGTTTTTTCTAAATCCGATGTCTTTTATTGTTCAGTTATTATTTATATTGACTTTTGAGATATACTGATATTATTACGACACGCAAAATTCGACTTGCGGATTCAAAAAATCATTCTTTGACACGCTCGTTTTGCGACGATATTCTCGTTAATTCATGTGATATTTCAATCGTTTTTACGACGACAAGTATTGCTACGAAATTTCATTTTTTTTTAAAAAAAACAAATTCCGATGTTTTTTTTTTTTTTTTTTTTTTTTTTTTTTTTTTTTTTTTTTTTTTTTTTGCAATTCAATTATAGGCTTAAATCAATTATTCACTTTTAATGTGACGATTACATCGTTTTCTCGGCTTATTGTTAGTTCTGCCGAATTTCAAGGTTTTTTTTAAATTCCAGTTATTTCTCAGTTAATATTATTTCTACACATAAAATTTAAATTGCGCATTTAAGTAATCACTTTTGACGAGTTCACTTTATGCCGATACTATCGCCAATCAATGTAGTGTTTCGATTGTATTTTTGGCAGATATTGATATTGATTTTCACGTGATGTTTAAATATCCCAATATATTTCTGACAATATGTGAATTTCGAATCGCACATATGAATATTTAATTTTTAAAGCAATGATTCTATCGCTTTTTTTCGGGGGGGGGGGGGGGGGGGGNGGGGGGGGGGAGGTAGGTACATTTTTTTCCACACAGTTTTTAAAATCCAAAATTTTATTTCATTATTTGTTATAGCAAATACAGAATGTCGAAACGAACATAGCACCTATGGTGTGATCATGGAATCACCACAATGTTTACTTTTCCTAATACCTACTGGGCTGTCTCCAACAGGAGCGCCCTCTTCGTTGCCTTTGCAGGATCTCTAGGGCTCGACTCCTAGCTCGTCTTTAGAAATTCTCGCAACCGCTAAGGAGGGGACGCTATCTTTTGGAGATAGACCAGTATTCCCCGTAGATCTCGAGAGTGCAGCGTCTTCCTTTTTTTGAGCTGCGTACTTAATTTTTTTCCCCTGTGTGCTCCAAGTTTGTTATAATTCATCGTAAGATTATTCCTTTTTTTAACTTCATAAATTTAACATATTGCAAATCATCTATTCCGTAAATTTTACTGCAACAAATCTCAAGTATGCTTTTTGCATAAATTAATATTTTATACGCACTGGAGCACACGGGGGAGGACATAGTCCACGTGTTGGACTTGATAATGTTTTATTCTACAATCCATGAACAATAGATGTACTCTATTCATAAATATGACAATTAAATAAAAGGATTTGTGGTGTACTTGAAGTCTAGAGAAGTCTTTTAGCTATGCAACTCAGAAATATCTCCCATAATAAGTAACTTCGAAGTTCCTGTTCTGAGAATTAAAACAGCGTAACATGTAGCTTATCATCGTCAAGGAACGTCGGAAATAAGTCTGATAGCTGTTCATGATCGATGCCAGAAGACGAGGTACCACGAGCTCTGGCGAGCAACATCTCCTCTCCACTATGCGGACCAACGCGATAGTACCCCTTTTAAACGAGTCCAATTTGCATGATTTCACGATTTTCAATTTTTTTTTTCTTTTTTCGATGTGATGATGATTTATGAAATGTGAAAAAGAAAATAATTAGTGTGTTTTTCTCCTACAAAATGTTAGAATATTGCTTATGAAATTAAATTAAAAAATATTGCATATTCATTTAAAAAAAAATTTATTTTATAAAAACAGGTTTTTTTTGTAAACACAACGTTTCCGTTACTTTAACTTAGTACCATGCGTATTTGTTATTATTAAAAGTATCTTGCAGAAAGATATTAGTGGTAGATAGAGAGGTTTGTCGCAGAAAGCCCAAACAAATTCTGCTACAGGGAACAATCTTAAAATTAGGCCTTATGTTAGGCAGTTGAATTCTCAAGTCTGTCTTCCGTTAAGTGAATTAGTTTTTAGCGTATACAAAAATAAAATTGGATAAAATAAGCTGGTGTTAAAATGAACTGTTATAAATGGTAAGAATGGTTATGGGATGAAAAAAATTCTTAATTTTGGTTCTTTTAATTTGAATATTAAATTTTGTTCGATGATAAATACTGACGCAATCATTATGACTATTATTTTGGAAAAAAAGAATACTTATGAACAATATAATATATATTATATTGTTGCTCATTATTTTGTTATTGGAAAGAAATTTTTTTATAAAATTTGATATTTCGTTTCATTGACACTTTATTTTAAATGATTTCATAAAACTAAACTAAATATTAAATAAATAATCGTTTTGAAAGAGAGCTGTTACAGGTTTTAAAAATCATATCTTGTTTTAAAATAAAAAGATAAGAAAGAAAGAAAGTCTTAACTCACGGAACCTCTCTGACCTTTCCAAGGAGCCCTAGGGTTCCAAGGAACACCATTCGGAAACCGTTGCTCTAGACAACTGGCGAGTGGAGTAATTCAGAAAGTACTCTTATTTTGCACAAAATGTAAATAATTAAAGTACTCACTGTTTTGTTTTTGAGATCTGAAGTGACTGACTGTGACCTGTTTCGGAGCATTTCGAACATTTTGGAGACTGCCCCTCTACTGTCAGAACCGGACCTAGGCCTGTGAGGCTCGACCAGGTTTTGTGCGGGTGGTGTGCTGTGAGTGGCCAGCGGCGATGTTGGACTCACTACAGTAGATCTAGATAGAGAGCCACCAGAGGACATCATACTAGATCTGAAACAAAAACATCCTTTTTACATATGTGAATTGCATATTTAGATTTTCAACACATTATTGAATGATATTCAAGAAATAGCTGAACAGACACACAGAGAGAGTGGACATATGAAACAAAATTGTAAAATCAGAACCGAAGTCCTGGAAGTACTGGTGCAACCACGGTCAAGCACCTAGTCCCGTTTTCCAAGACTTATATCTTTTAACAACTAAGACCGGAATGCTACATGACCTTGACCGACGTGGACAGTACTTCCACATTATAACCAATGAACCGACTTTCAGCCACTACAGATTTAACGTAGACGTTGCTGCGTATACAATCTGGTTATTTATTCGGTTGCCCGGGTCGAACTCTCCTGCAGCAATGTGGGCGATACCTTAAAAGACTGCACCTCAAATGCAGTATAAAATCGTTAAAAATGACATTTCAATTAGAGAACCAGCTGTTTTGTACCGACTGCACCTCAAATGAAGAATAAAATCGTTAAAAGTTACATTTCAATTAGAGAACCAGCAGTTTTGTACCGACTGCACCTCAAATGAAGAATAAAATCGTTAAAAGTTACATTTCAATTGGAGAACCAGCTGATTTGTACCGACTGCACCTCAAATGAAGAATAAAATCGTTAAAAGTTACATTTCAATTGGAGAACCAGTTATTTCGTACCGACTGCATCTCAAATACAGTATAAAATCGCTGAAAATGACATTTCAATTTGACAGCTCATTTATTCATGTTGTGAGTAACGCAATTCATAATCAAACAGTTATTCAAAATCGCTTAAGCGACGAAAGTTATGACGATTAATGTTATTAAAAACGAGAAACAAATAAAAACTGCAGTTAAATAACAAATTAAGTATTCACTTTCCTGAAAACCTTATTTTATAATTTACTATTTAATAAATACGTTTGCAGGTAACTACAAATGAAAATGTAAAACGATTTTCGAAATCTGATAGCATTTTTAGAGAAATTTAGAACTCAAAATTAACAGATTTATTCCATTTATTCACAAAAGCGCTCTCCTCTCTGTAATTGCTAATAGTTTTTTTTTTTTTTTAATTTGTGGATTAAATAAACGAAGAGTCAAAAACAAAAATCTAAGCGACCAGGAAACTAGAATACATATATTTATTAACATGCTGTTAAACTTGTGTCGAAATGGAGAAAGTAATCACTAGAGAATGTCGGCAGAGAATAGATAAGACTTATATTTAATTAAATTCAGTGTATATTTAATTAAATTATAATTCACAAACATTATTACTCTAGACAGTGCACTCTATTGAGACATAGAATTTAAACTCTAGTTTCGGCATAATGGATTCAAATAGCAACGCATAAAAATCTAGACGGATTTTATGAGGACCAGAGAGAGATTCGATTTTTATTTAGAACGATTTGTAGGCACTCCCAGCATGGTATAAATGTCAGACAGTTGTAAAACTTGAGCGCAGAAGTTCAACCATAAAAACAGAAGGAATTTGGAATACGATAAAGAGCCGGTTGTTAAGGAATTTAATGCTCCAAACTAACTAAATCGATATTTTAAAAAATGCCACTTCAGTTATTATTAGTTTATAAACGAGAAACAAATAAAAATATTTTTTATTTATTTCCTGAATAAATGTAATTTTAAGACACAATATAATGAATGATTTACTTATTTATATTTTTATTATATGCAAAGATATATGCGTATTTTCATCAAAAAAAGTGAAGTTAAAAATGTGTTAGAAACTCTCTTAATTGCCGCGTCATAATAAAAATCGTTCTAAATTTCTAATTAAAGATTTAATGCTAAAAATCTCATTTTAACTTTTTCACATTGCTGTATTTTTAGAAAAAGTGACCATAAAAAATAACGTTCATTACAAACGCTCTTTGAAAAATGCTGTCATAATCAAAACACTGATAAAAAAAATTTATATAAAAAAAAAAAAAAAAAATTAAAAAAAAAAAAAAAGTGAAACAGAAAAAAAAATTTTTTCTTAATTTTTAAATATAACTTTAACGTAAGAATCACAGTTATCGGTTATCAGTCTTACCGTACAGGAAAAAAGTGACAATATAACAATAACGACTATTAGAAACGCTCCGTTAAAATGTTGCGCTACAGTTAAACAGAAGAACAAGCAAAAATAAAATAAATAAAAAAATAGTTCTCAATTTTTAAAACATAAAAGGTTATAAAAACGAAAGAAACTGTCTTGAATGATTATTATTAAGAAAAAAAAATCAGCATTACAAAACTCATGGTTTAGTATAAAGTCATTCGGTTTCAATTCTTCAAATTTCGCTTTTCCATCTGTCTTTCAGACCATAAATTGACAAGTTTTAGAACTTAAGTGGAAGAATGTATACACGTGGAAGAACAATTTCTAATAATGTTGTGTAAGAAGGAAAAAAAAAACGATTTTAGATGATTCAAACTTTTTTTGAAAATAATACTTTGCCGAATATTCAGTCGAATATTTGACCAATCATTCGGCCAACCGAATATTCAGTAAAAGGACTGAATAAGCAGAATATATGTTATATCCCTAAAAAGAACAATAAAATATACTAGGGCCGTGATAGCTTGGTTGGTAGGGCACTGGGCTCATGTCCAAGAGGTCGTGGATTCGATGCACGTTAAATCTGTCGGGTCACAAAGTCCTCCTTGTTCTCATAAAAAAAAAATTCATACAACTGGGGGTATTGACCCGGGAGTTTCCCTCTCTTTTGGATTGAGTTCAAAATTAGAGACTACGGAGAGAACATCGGCAGCAGTAAACTCAAAATTGAGTCGGCTGTTCAACGACGATTATAAATGTAAATAAAATATACTAATTTTTAGTTTTAGAATTACTCAGCACTAGTTTATTAGAAGAGTACTGAACTACTCATAATAATTTGTGACAAATATAGAGAAAATTTTTACAGTACTGTTTAGTTAAAAAAATACCCAGTATCAACTAATTAAGATTCCCTGATATATTATTTAATTAAAATACGTAATCAAGTTCAAGATTTTTTCGATTTTCAAATCTGCAAATGAAAACCATATAATTTGTGAACTATTTTTACTAGCATTATAAATAAAAATAAAAATATGTTAGTTGAATATCGTATTTCGAATCAACAAATCACTTATTATAAAATCAGCATTCGTGCTCGTAGAAAACGGGATGTACTAAAAATGCACAAAAGGCAGAAATATCATGACAAAAATCTAAAAATACTTCTAATCAAGAAAATCAGTAATAATCAAGACGACTATACGAACCTTGAGTTAATAATTTTTTTTCGAATCGTTCCAACAATACATTATCAGAATGTTGTTACATAAAATTATATCAATATTTTATGGAAAATTCGATTAAAAAAATCAACTTTTAAGGAAAAAAAAAGACATTGTTGAATGAGAAGTAATCACGGGGTCGGTGAGGGAAGCGCGCCGGTGACGTAGTCTCCAAGTAAGAAAAAAAAAAGTTATAAAATAAAAACGACATTTTTCCCTAAAGGCAAGACACAATCTATAAAATTTCGGAATATCGATTATTTTATTTTAATTACACATTGCGATAAATATTTTTTTCTAAAAGGATAGGCTACAATTATAACAAATGACTAAGATAAAACAACCCGTTAACAACTTGCACGCGCCTTAAATTAACCTTCAAAACTGTAAACTTCCTTATTTTTTAACGTATTTACAAGAAAATATTTTTAAAAAGGTACCAAACAATTAATTCACCTATTTCAATCTAAATACACTTTTTTTTAAAAAATAAAAATCTTCCCGTATTAAAATATTCTAGTTGAGTTTTTTCCTCATATTTGTGCGTTAGTTAAAGACTAAGAAAGTGTTCTTAATGTTGAAACTTTGGACAGCAGTAATTGCAACTTTGTATAAAACTAAATTAAAAAATAAAACACAATAGCAAATTTTAAAGTATTTCTACGATGAGTTAAAGAACCCTTAATAACCCAATCCTAATTTTTCAGTATTTTGCATACAAGGTGTTCAGTAGTGTTTACGTTTAATATATATTTTTAGAATCCTTGTCAAATATAAAATAAAAAAAGTATTAAAAAAAAAAGGAGGGTCGCAAATTATTAAGCAACGAAAAATAAAGCGAAAAAAAAAAATATCGAAATCTGATGAAGTACTATTGAGAAAGCCAGAACTGTAAATACTAGAATATATTTGATATTCAGGCCAAATGGAGAGGAGTTGAAAGGCATAATTATATACACATCATCAGGCAATCAAACAGGTTTAAATAATTTATTAAAACAAGGTCGGTTCTTTGCTTAAATATTACTTTGCGAACTATTACATGCTTAGAGAATTTTGTGTCATTTCTGATAAGAATTCCAAAAATATATATTACGGGTGATGATTACGGGACACTCTATATAAGTGTATGCGGAGGCCGGGATAGCCTGGTTGGTAGGGCACTGGGCCCATGTCCAAGAGTTCGTGGGTTCGATTCCAGCCGGCGGAAGGCTCCCCGTGTAGTAAATGGTGACTAATACACGTTAAATCTGTCCAGTCACAAAGTCCTCCATGTTCCCGTAAGAAATCAATACATCTGAGGGTACTGATCCAGGAGTTTCCTTGTCTTCTGGATTGGTTCAAAACCCCGTGGCAGAATTGCAGCGACATTGTCGCAGAACGTTACAGAGTTTTTGCAGAAAAATTTTTCTTTCGAAAAGTAAACAATTTTAGTTTTCTTTCCTACAGAAATTTACACGTAATATTTAAATCATGCATTTAGATAATCACTTTTTGACGCTCTCAATTTACGCCGATAGTATTGCAAATAGATGTAATTTTCCGATTTAATTTTCAGCAGTTACTGATATTAATTTTCACACGGTTTTTAAATATGCCGCTATATTTCAATAATATGGAAAATTCGAATCGTGTATTTGAGTTTTTCTTTCTTAAGGCAATGATTCTGTCGTATTTTTGGCAGTTATTGCAATTGATTTCTCCATAGTTTTTAAATCCGATATTTTTTGCACGATATTATTTATTACAACAACCTAACCTCAGAACGAAATTCGCATTTTAGTAATCCCTTTTTGAGGAGTCCGATTCGCTTGATTTCGTCGTCAATCTTTTTTTCGGCAACGTATTTGATACTTACGAAATGCGAAGAAGGAAATAAATAGTTTTCCCCCAACAAAATATAAGAATAAAAAATTGTTACATGCTCAATTATAAAAAAATTATAATAGTTTTTTTTTTCTGTAAACACAGCGCTTTTGTTATTTTAAATTGGTAACATATATGTTTGCTATTATTAACACTGAACATGCCAACACTTTTCAATACAATACAATACAACACACAAAAACCAGTCTTTTGACCGGATATGGTATGTTTAGTGTTAAAAGTATCTTGCTGAAAAATATTAGTGCTAGAGTTTTGTCGCAGATAGCTCGAAAAAATTCTGCCACAGGGGTTCAAAATTACAAGGCTTAGGAGTTGAACATTAGTAGTCGTAAACCCAAAAATTGGGTCTGCTGTTCAACGACGGTTATAAAATTAAAAAAATAAAAATATAAGCTCATGCAAATAAAGTAACTTCATAGCCTGCATCATAAGCTGAATGCATAGACGCATGATACTTGGTTTCATTAAAAGGATGCCATACCGCGGGAGAAATTGTTCATCACAAATTCGGTTTCACATCCATACCTAATTTAAAATGTAGAAAAAGTGAGATTCTAGAGTGAGCCGCGAAGTTTCAAATGTTGAAAAAATATATGAAATTATCAAATTATTCGGAGAAGAACTTTCTCAAGCGTATTACTAAGTTATCTCCTAAAAATTAATTTTCATTTTAATATTTTGAAAATTTCTTTTCAGTATTTGAATTGTGAAAAATTGGCAATAACTGTATTCCCCCTTGATCAAGTCAGATCAAGTAATAACACAAATAAAATTAAAAACACATATAAAGACCAATTAAATACACAAATAATAAATTAGATCAGTGGATAATACAAATAAGATAAGGAGACAACACAAATGAGACTAATGGATAGCACAAATAAGATTAGTAGACACACAAGAGCAGTAAATAACACTAATTTTAACACACTGAATAACACTAACCTTAGCGAGAACATGAAAGATGGCTTTTTACTTTTGCTGTCTGATTTAGAACGCGGTCTGAACACATCGAAGACAGCAGCCGCAGACTTCTTGTCATGTGCATCATCACCTGACTGTCTCCGGAATCGACCCGTTATGGAACTAGAAGACGAGTCTCGACTAGAGGCTGAAGATGATGCGGTAGAGGAAGTAGCTTTGGCCCCACCGGACAATGACCGAATGCGTTCTCTGTCTGTGGCCCGTTCGTCTGGTAGCACCATATTGGCGTCGTAGTCCTCGGTGACAATAGTTGGGAGCACCAACAATGGAAGATCCTGAAAAATAAAGGTATTTTATAAACGCAGCTCTTAATATCGTAAATGAGGAGTTGATTTCTGCATCTGTGAGATAAGATATACAGCAAGCAATAAATGCAATTAGTAAAAATACTTTCGATTAAAAATGCAGTTTTGCTATTATTTTAATGGGTTTCAGAAACTTTAAAAGCACGCGTGAACACATGTTTCTAAGTGATATAACTAGAGCCGCGGTATTCAAGGGGTAGAGCCTTCGTCTCCCAAGAAAGTGACGCAGGTTCTAAAAGCAGAGGTGGCTCGTTATTACGAATTCTCCTCCAGGCTCCCATAGATTGCAGTGCTGACGCAAAATATCCTGAATATCCGAAATATCCTGTATTGTAAGTCCCTTGCAGTCGAGCTAACCGTAGGATGTTTTCCTCCCCATGAAATGCAAATGTGAGTTAATTCCATCAAAAAGTTCTCCTCGAGGACTAGGTCCCAATGCTTGAGCCAGAAGTTACCTTTGTCTTCAAGGTCGAACTCAAAACTACAAGTCCAAGGTGCTGAACATTGACAGTCTTTAATTTAGAATTCAGTCGGTTGTTCAAAGCCAGTTATAAAATTAAATAATGAGTAATAAAAAAGTAATAGGAAAGTAAAATTAAAATTTAAATAATGAAAATTGATATTAAAAGAAATAATTTGGCACTTAATACAAATCACAAGCTTAATAATTTTTTTACAATTAAAAAAACGGATAAAAACAAAATTTTTGCAGGCAACGCTTCTCTAAACCTTTTTTCTGTAAATATCAACATAATTTTTTTACACAGTTTAAAATAACTCCTTTAATAACTTATAGATAAATGTTTAAATAATACTTGTTTAAAATATCTTTCATTGAGACTTAAAATTTTTTAAAAAAAAAATCAATTTCTTCAATTTTATACATTTTAAAACGCTTTCTTAATTTTCTTAAAATTTAAGCTAAAAAATTATGCGTAATTTATTTATAGGGTAACAATTACGCATAATTTAAGAACTATACCATTCGATTTGTATCTAAACTATAACTAGTTATCATGCGGGTTTAAAATTTCTTTCATGGATATTTTTAAATTATAAAAAACACATAAAACTACATGTTAATAACATATAAACTATATGTTAACAGTCAATGTGCCAATTTAAGGGCAGTCGGTTAAGGAATATCTCTCACCACTGGTTGGAGAGCTGGGAGTAGTGAGTTCGATACCGGCAAAACAGCCGGCATATATATGCAGCAAAATGCATATTAAATCTGTCGTGGCTAAAAGTCCTCTCGTTGGTTGAGGTGAGGAACTTTAGAAATAGGGTTACCAGCTCGGGCGCTATCCATGTCGTCTGAGAAGGGTCAAAATCACGAGGCATTCAAACCATAGCCGTGACAAAATAGAACCCTGACAATGAGGCTAGGCGCTTGGCTATGGTAGGGTGATGATGATATGCTCCTTTATTGCTTGTAATATGCATTATTTGTAATATGCATTTTCTTTAGTTTAAAATTTGTAATAGTTTCAAGTGTTTTGGGATTACTCGTGTTTTTTCTCAAATTTAAGGGCCTTGAAGTGCCGTATATTTTAATCGTTAATTATATTTTAAATCGTTTAATATTGCAATTCTCAATGGGATTTTTTCGAAATAAGAAAAATAAACCCATTTTTTTTTTAGCTAAGACGTAAATTCTAATCGTTTTCTGATTTTAAATTCTAAACTTATATTTCTAAACGCAACGCAATATACTTAAACATGTTTTTTGAAACACTTAATAGGTGTACAATGTGCAAAAAGTGAACAACTTGAATGACTTTTGATCTAAAACTTATGATCGAAATAGATCGATCTTCTAAGTTAACAGATTTTTTTTTAAAAATCGTACATTTAAAATTTAATTTCTCAAGTACTCAAGTTAATTACAGATTAATAGTTAATTTCTCAACCAATTTCGTTCAGATGTTGTGTAATTGTCATTTAAAATTACAATTTTTTAAATGATGCAAAATTTGTTTCCTTACGATTATAAATTTTTCGATTGTTATAAAATAAACTAACAAAATTTGATAAAATAGTTATTAAAAAAAAATTTTTATATGGAATAATGTTTCGATAAATTCGTTTCATAATTGTGCGCAAATTTTTTTAAAGTCGCATAAAAAATTTTCGAGTTATTGCGAAATACGCAAACAGTTAAATTGACATTAATGGATTCAAACATTTGACCGCTTTCTTGCCTACAATAATGAGCCTATATATTTTCCATATTGCAGCTACTTTCATGTCTTTAAGGGTTACAAATCCAAGTCCGTCAAAAAAAAAAGTATGACCAGTAAGATAGAGTCTTAGTACGTGAAAATCCGATCAGATCAAAAGTTATTCAGGGTTTTCACTTTCTTATTTTGCACACTGTACAATAACATTTTACGACATATTAGTTTATTTAAAAAATATTTCCTCAAGAAAATTTGCATGTCCTACGCATTAATATTGGAATCTTAAAATAAACTTTGACAACAAAGCCTTAAGACATTTTTACTTCTAGCAAAATGCATTATAAACAGTAGGAATTAAGACATTTGAGACATTAACTAAATCGACAGGCTCTCAACGCAAAGTCAAATAAATTCCCTATATCCCCCAACTAATTCCCTAATCCCTTATAGTATACTATTGATTCAATCACCCGGATGTCTGCTCCAAGGCAAGTCATTGAAGAGTTAACTTTATTAAAGGATATTTGTCTTTCACAGAATTCTATTAAATAAGAGATTCATAATACAAAGCTTCTACAGATAATAACTCAAAAGGGATATTTTAGGGAATTTTCTAAAATGAGAATAATTGTAAAAAGGATTATAGCACTCATTAGGAAACGTTTCTGTTTATTTCAATTATAATGAAACAGAAGAGAGCTAATTTGATGTGTCTGAATAATTGAAACTGGAACGAAAAAGTAATTTGGAATTATTAGAAGAGTTATTGAGTAATTTTGGATGACAGTAGAAAAATTTCAAACTTGTTACAACAACAATTTTCGACGTCCAAAAAAATTGATTAAATCGTAATAAAAATTTATATAAGAGGTCTAAAAAAATTTTGAGAATCGTTTTTACGTGTTTCTCTGGATTAAACATGGTTATGTTTTAATGACTATTATTAAAATGAGATAAAATATTACCAAATCTGAAACTTGCAATAATTTAAGAAAATATATAATTTAATCTCTTTTTAAATTAATGCAAATCTGCAGGATGATATTATAACATTACTTTGTGCACAGGCATTACGATCTCAAGGCTATAGAATGATGATAAAAACGATTCCGTAGCTCTAGTGCTTACAGTTGATTGAAACGCAATCCTTGCAGTATAAAAAAGCAACCTATAATGGAGTTCGGATATTTTTAGATAACAAAATTGTGACACTAGGCCATGGGTCGCCAAACTATTTTGATCATCGACCCCTATGTAATTTTTCGAAATCTCCATCGACCCCCATAAAAGTAATTTTCTGTTAATTAAAATAAAACTCTATTAGATACTGTGTTTGTACACTTATTTTGTGATTTTAAAGATTTATTACAGTAAGACTACATTGTGTAACAATGGTTTTATGAAAAATATATTAATGTTGACATTTAAATCACTTAATATTTATTAAATAATAAGTAAAGTAACTACAGATTTATTGCTTCTTAATCAATGAGATGGGTGTGCCTGGTATTTTTTTTTTTACAAGGTTCGCTATATTGGGTTCAAAATTGGTCAATTTTAATTTTAAATCCCCTCGAAACTCCACATTTAATTTATTTCTGTACTTAGTTCAGATTGAATTTGCGTGAAAGTTAAAGGCATATATCAAATTAAAATAATAATATTTTCAAAAATGTTGTAATTTTCGTAAAAAAATACAAAGTGTGCTATAGTGTTGTCGCGGGCTGTACTAACCCATATTACTAAAGCTTACCTTCTTTTTTACATGTATTGATAATTAAAATTGATATCTAAACTAAACGAATGGTTTTATCGAAACAACGAGTGTGATAGAACCTTTAGAAGAAGAGAGTGTGTTAGAACCTTTAAAAACAGAAAAAATTACAAAGTATTTTATCTTTTTAAAATTAATTGTCCGTGATCACATGTCTGACATTCTCATAGTTGTTTATCTTATTTTTACAGGTTTTAATTCACTCTCTTCCCGTTGGTAGTCACCGAAAAATGGCGACCCTTGGCGAAAGTCCATTCTCGCCATTTCTTGGTTTAAAAATATCGTTCAACTATATATATATATATATATGTATTTTAATGCAACGATTACGTTTCTATACGAAAAATGAGTGTCCCCGTTTGAAAATTTCGAAATTGCGTAATTATAATCGTAAAAGCTACGTAATCATTTTTGACATAATTCATCAGCGCGTAAATCATAATACTTGGGTACAAAATTTTAATCCGCTTATTCAAACGCCATGTTCTCCACAGGGACATATGACGGTATTAATAAATCTAAAATATTTTCATAATTATTAAAAGCTAAAAATTATAATTATTTGTTTTATTTTATACAATTAGATTTTATAATTTTATAACCGCCATTGAACAACCGACGCAGTTCTGAGTTTACGACTATCAATGTTCAACTACGTAGCATTGTAATTTTGAACCAAACTCAGAAGACAAGGGAACTCTTGGACTAAGCATTTTCTTTTACCTTGTAACCGTCGTTGGACAGCCAGTCCAATTTTCGGGTTAACGACTACTAATGTTCAACTCCGTAGCCTTGTAATTTTGAACCCAATCCAGAAGACAAAGGATCAAGTATTGAGAGACATTTTAATTTTGTACACGGCTTTTTGATAGAACTAACCAGCATTTGTGTTACATGGTGAGAGAAATCACGAAGACCTTCCAAGGTCAGCCTGGCGGCAAGGGAACTGTAACCCACGACCCGTCTACCACTGAAGATATTTTACGTCAGCACTGTGGTCGGTGCGAGCCGGG